AACTGAATTCAGTTGCGACGTCTCTACTCGGATTACTTCAATGAACCCGTTGTTACTCGACCGATAGTGCTTTCCGCCGACGATAAACAATTTCAAATTGGACAGGTCGGTGCCTTTCGAAGATTTCCGGCGCTCCGATGTAGTTCTTTGGTCATTCCCTTTCTAATCTGTTTTTGATGTAATGGCTTACGTTTTGCAATTCACATCATTCCTAATCTTCTGTACGAATTCAGGTGCTTCTTCCTCGGAAACGATGCATTGATGAGAAAAGTACGTGGCGAATGCTAGCCAGTCAGAGCACTTTGATACATCAATTGTCTGTGTGCATAGATATGAAATGGATGCCCTTGATTATTGGGCCCAGGTAAGCAACATAAACCTGATACAGGCATAGTTTTCACTCACTATCACCTTCTTCACAGCTCCAATTCTAGAGGCACGTGAAAAGTTCCTAGTTTTCCAACTGTTGTTTCAGAAATTGTGGCAAGCGTTCGGCTCTAGAATGTCTAGCACAAATTTGTGGTGTTGAGCTTCATACCATTGTGCTCACTCCCGAGACGGATGCACAGGAACTCATCGGTTCATATGAGCAGGTCTAGCAAATGATTGTACATGCACTTCTCTTTCTCTAACTAATCTCTGTAATACAGGTAATCGATGATTCTGCTCTCAACGATGCTAAAACGACTTTGTGTAGCCTCTTGAAACATCACGTTGACGAAGCTGTACTGAAGAAATTAAACGATGCTGACGATGTGACACAGTTGGAGATGATAGCCGAAATTGAACTCGTTGATATGAAGGAAAGCAACGGTAGTGTGGTTGATGAGTGTCGTGAAGTGCTGGCTCATGCTGCCCGATCTGCAATGCGATTCGACTGGATCGACAGCTTGTTTGTACGTGCGTACCTGGACGGTCATTGGTTGCTGATAGAAGATGTGAACCTGTGCAGGTGAAACTTGGTTTTGCTGTTCCACCTCTACCAATTATCTGTTTTTTACCGCCAGTGGAAATTACATTTATGACCGTACCCGCGAAGCTGACCTGATAATTGCACTTCATTCGAGTATTAAGTCGATTTTCCCAGTTTGCACACTTTTTGACCTTCATTTCCGACTTTTCGCTTGCTAATCCCCTTATGCGCCATATTTCGTCTACATCTAATTTCCGCGAAAGTCTCCTTCTTTGATAGCTTCACTCTGGGAATATGAAAAAGCTCGGATGTTATTCAGGAACATTATAACTTTTTTGACAGTAGCTGTGATGAAATTCCCCTTCACAAATTCCACAACTGGGAAAGTGCGATCGATCTGCCTCTTAATAGAGCATGAACTTACTGAGAAATTTACAGAGAAAAAATTGAATGATTAAGGAAGCGGAATGGGTTAACTTAGTGGGTACGAAATTTGAATGTTCACCAGAATCTGCTAGGCATTTTTGTGAGAATATTTTGCACATTTTTCTTTATACTTGAACATTGGGTCTCTCGATTAGATGTTCAAGTCGCATGGGGCATTTCTACCGCTCTTCCTCAACTTGCTTGTATTCGCAATGTTATGGTGATAGGGTGGTTTTTCGGCTTTGTAAACCCTGTTTACTTCAAGCGTTTTGTTCAATCTTCTTTCGTGGTAGCTTTTGGTCTCGTCAATCTTTAGAATTCTTCTCAAATGTCCTGCTGCCATATTGGTACTAGGTAGAGTTGGTATGTAAGTTTGTGGATGCTTGCGATTATGTGAGTCGCAAACGATGTGTTTTTACACCAGGGTTAGATGATATGTTTGAGCAATCATTTGGTGGTAAAGCTATGGTTTGACGGCATGTCTCGCGACCTGAGTTTCTAAGTCCACAGGAAATTTGAATGTTGAATGAGAGTTGCATCTGGAGCACATTAATCAAACCTTACTGTAAGCCATCCTCTGCTTAAGTCTATTTATCTCTCATCCGCTTACAGTGCTGCTGTATTGGATCGCCTCAATAGTTGCCTAGAAAGCGATGGTCGTCTTGTTGTATCAGAACGCCAATCATCATACGAGCCACTGGAGCCACATCCTAATTTTAGGTATGTTCCTTCATCCTGTGCTTGTCCATTAGTTTTTTTGTGGTCGTTTACCCCTAGTTATCATTATGCGGAAGGGCTTCAGCCAGTACATTGATGTTGAATAAATTAAAATTACAGAGTTTTTCTCTCAATGGACAGTCGTAATGGCGAAATCTCACGAGCGATGCGAAATCGTAGCGTAGAAATATTTGTAGAGAAAGCACAGCAGTGGAATGCTAATCCTCCAGACATTGCTGCTGTTGTTCATCAAAATGGGAAATCTATACCTTATAAGGTGCTTTTTTCCAAAAATTTTTGACTAAATTCAAGTATGTTGTAAAATTCAGGTTTTGGATGCATTGTCTTCGCTATCAGCCGAAAAACAATTGCACTTCTCCGCTCTTCTAAGCGAAATTTCGCTTGAAGAGGCGTGCCGCATAGTTGGTATACCGTGTTCGACAATGGATGATGACGGAATACAGAACTGTTCAATCGCCCCATTCGTGAAAGAAATCGGCACTGAAAAGTTAGTATTTTTTTCATTTTGCGTTCTCTTTAAACCAAGATGTATTAATGTAGATATGAGTCGTGGCTTCTGGAAATCTGGAAGAATAGTTGTGAAGCTGATGTTCTGCCTGGTTTATTCCTCGCGTTGCTATCCAGCTCAACAAGTGTTCTTCGTGGGACAATGTTCTGCGAAATTTTCGGGGATTCTGGTTAGTTTTTGCTAGATAGTTTTATCGCAGAAAAAGTATTGTATTTATTCATTAACCCTTTGACGACAATGGCACCCACC